CACCACGGCCAGCGCATCACGGAGGTGCTCGTGTCGCACCGCCACTTCATCACGTGCTCCGACGACGAGACGATCCGCTACTACGGCCTCTGCCACGGCGACGCCTACGACACGGCGCTCGAGCGCAAGGTCGAGTGCGGGTCCCGCGTCAAGTGCCTCTCCGCGACGCCGGGCGACCCGGGCGTCATGCTCGCGGGCCTCGCGGACGGGCGCGTGCTCGTCTTCGAGTTCGGTAAGATCATGTGAGGGTGCGAGGGCACGGTCGGGTGCGTCGCGACTCCCGAGCGTCTCGACTCCCGAGCGTCTCGACTCCCGAGCGTCTCGACTCGCGTTACCGCCCGGGGGCGCGGCGCCCGCCTAGCGGTTCTGCGTGAGGTTGGACGCGTAGGAGACGCGCTCCTTCGTGTCCTGGGCGAGGGCCTTGCCGTAGCCGGACGTGAAGCCGCCGGAGAGGCCGCCCTCGGCGTCGGGCTTGGGCACGCTCGGCTTGGCCCACTCGATCTTGAGGATGAGGTGGTCGTAGCCGTGGCCCTGCAGCGCGGCCATCGCGCGCTCCGCGTCCTGGCGGTGGATGTAGGACACGAAGGCGAAGCCGCGGGAGACCATGGTCTCGCGGTCCTTGGCGAGGTAGATGCGCGCGATGCGGCCGTAGGGCGCGAAGAGCACCTGCAGATCCGCCTCGCACGTGTCCTCCGAGATGTTCGTCACGCGCAAGCTCGCCTGGTCGCGGTCGTCGAACTGGGCCATGCGCGCGATGGCCGAGCCGGCGACGCCCGCGCCGGCCTGGCCGCGCATGGACGGGGGCACGTAGGTCGACTTGCCGCCGCCCGCGCGCGCGTCGCCCGACGCCGCGCCCATCGCCGCGGCGATGTCGCCCTCCGCGCCGGGCGGCATCTTGCCCTCCTCCTCCATGCCGTACTTCTGCTGGAGCTTGCGCCACATCTGCTTCCGCGCGAACTCGTTCATGGACGCCTTGGCGGCCTGCTGCGTCGCGTCCTCGGACTCGGCGACCTCCATCGTCACGCGCTCCTCGTTGTGCGCGACGATGGTCACGTTGCTGTCGTCCTGGCTACCCTTGGCCTGGCCGAACTTGTTCGCCTTGAGGCGCGCCACGCGCCCGGCGACGCACTTGGCCTCGCGCGTCTCCACGGTCTTGACGAAGACCTCCGTCGTCTTCTTCATCTTTTGGCCGGCCGTGTTCAAACTCCACTCGACGACGGTCTTGAAGCCCGCGGCGTTGACCTTGGTCTCCGTGCGCGGCGGCAGCGCGTCGTCGTCATCCTCGTCGTCGCCCCAGGCACCCATGGTCGTCTGCTACGGCGGCGCGGGCGGCGTCGCTCGTGTCCGGCGATTCGATCGAGCCCCGGCAAGATTGGCTTGCTCGCGCGGCGGCCGGCGCCTCGGCCGCCGGCTGAGGCCGGCGTCGCGACGCGCCTACTATGGAATCGCGACGTCGTGCGCATCCACGGTCTCCTCGACTCGGAGTCCAAGGGACGCGTCCAGCGCCGTCGATAGCGGCTGGGCGGTGCCGGATTCTCCGGACCGTGACCGCGGCCGCGCGCGGTCCGTCGTAGTCGCCACCGCACGCGTGAGAGCACGGACGCGACACTCCTGCGCAGCCTCCGAAAGGGACGCGCGCCCGGGCGGACGCTCGACGACATCGCCAGCTCGCGCGCCTGGGCCATGTTGAAGCTGTGGAGCAGCGGAAGCCTACTAGTAGCGGAGGTGCTGTGAGAGCACGATTAGCACGAGGTGTTGAGTCTGCCGTCAGCGTCGTCGTACAGGCAGCCACAACGCGCACAGCGATCACCGCACAGCACGCGCAGCAATTCGCGATGCGCCTGCTCAAGTTCACACTCCTCGCGGCGGCGACCGATGCGCTGCGCACGAATCGCCGCGCCGTGCTGCGCCAGGCGTCGGCGGGCACCCTCATGGTCAACCTGCCGTTCCAGCTGCCGTCGATCGGCCGCGCGGCGGGCCCGGCGACGAACGAGGTCGTGGGGACGGTCAACGGCATCCGGCGGAAGCGCCTCGGCGGCAGCGACATCGTCGTCAGCGAGGTCGGCCTCGGCACGCAAAGGTGGGGCGGCGCGGACTTCAACAGCCCGGACAAGGAGCTCTGCCACAAGCTGCTGGACCGCGGCGTGCTCGAGGGCGGCATCAACCTCATCGACACGGCGGAGCAGGTTTGGCGGCCGCGTCCGTCGATCGCGCGCGCGTCGCCGGCGATCACCCCGTTCCCCCCCCCGCAGTACCCCATCCCGTCGTCGCGGGACAAGCCCGAGGGCGCGACGGAGGAGATCATCGGCTCCTGGCTCGCGGGCGGCAAGGGCCGGCGGGACAAGGTCGTGCTCGCGTCGAAGATCACGGGCGGCCGCAACGTCAACAAGCGGACGCTCGTATCCGACTGCGAGGGGTCCCTGAGGCGCCTGGGCGTCGACGCGCTCGACGTGTACCTCCTCCACTGGCCGGCTCGCTACACGCCGCAGTCGAACTGGGGCCAGTCGCTCGAGTACGACTGGGACCTGGGCCAGCGCGCCGTGCCGTCCGCGGCGTCGTTCCGCGAGGTCGTCGGCGCCATGGGCGAGCTGATGAAGGCGGGCAAGATCCGCGGCTACGGCGCGTGCAACGACAACTCGGTGGGCCTCATGGGCATGCACGCGGCCGCGCGGGAATTGGGCGTGGCGCCGCCCTGCGCCATGGAGAACGACTACTCGCTCGTCAACCGGCGCGTCGAGGAGAACGGCCTCTCGGAGGCGTCGTCGCCGGCGATCTGCAACGCCGGGTTCCTCGCCTACAACGTCCTCGCCGGCGGCATGCTCACCGGGAAGTACGGGTTGTTCCTCGGAGAAAAAACGGACCCGCCGGCCGTCGACGACCCGGACCGCGAGCGCGCGACGCGGAACAACCAGAAACCGCGAGGCCGCATGGACACGCGGGGCTGGGGCAACACGCTCGGCCGCTACCGGACGACGGCGGCGCGGTCCGCGATGAAGAACTACGCGCGCCTCGCGGACGAGTACGGCCTCAAGGGCGGCACGACGGAGCTCGCGCTCCGCTTCTGCGCGGGCCGCGGCGCCGTGTCGTCGTCGCTCGTGGGCCACACGTCCCTCGCGCAGCTCGACGCGACCGTCGCGGCCTTCAAGGGCGCGGCCAAGGGGCCCCTGCCGGCGCAGCTCCGCTGGGAGATCGACCGCGTCCACCTCCAGAACCGGCTGCCCCTCTTCTCCAACGACGAGGCCCAGTCCGACTGGCTCGGCGAGGGCTTCATCGGCGAGCGGCTCCCGTGAGCGTAAAAGAGGCGGGGTTCCGCGTCGCGACGGGGAGGAGCGGGGCGGGGCTCAGCGCTTGAAGAGCTTCTTCGCGCCCTCGAAGAACGTGGTGTGCTTCTTCGCCTTGACGGGCGACAGGGCCGCGGCGACGTCGTGGGCGGACACGCTGAGGCGGGCGAGCATGGAGTGGGGCGCCTTGCCCTGGTCCGTTTCCTCCTGCCGCGCGGCGGCGACGCCCGCGAGCCACTCGTCGGCCTCGAGTTGCGGAACCGTGAGGCGCTTGTCGACGTCCTTCTCCATGAGCCCCGCCAGCACGCGCTTCGCGCCGTCGGGGAGGTCCGCCGGGATGTCCGGCGCCGCGGCCTCGATGGCGCCGAAGAGGTCCATGACCTCCTCGGCGTAGAAGGGCAGGCGGCCCGTGAGGAAGATGTAGAAGCAGACGCCGGCGGCCCAGCAGTCGCAGCTGTACGCGTTGAACTTGCCGCCCTCGCCCTCGACCATCTCCGGCGACCAGAAGGAGTAGGTGCCCTGGGTCTCGCCCGTCTGCGCGACGGAGTGGGACCGCTCGAGGGACCACAGGCTCTTCTGGGGCTCGCCCGCGGGCTGCTCGTCGAAGACGTGCGCGACGCCAAAGTCCGCGATCTTGCAGAAGCCGTCGTGGCCCAGGAGCACGTTGTCCGGCTTGAGGTCGCGGTGCGCGATGCCGTGGAGGTGGAGGTAGCCCAGGCCCGACGCGACGTCCAGGAGGTACGCGGCCGCGAGCGGCCCGCCGCACGGCCCGCCCGTCGCGGCCGCCGCGAACGTGTTCGTCGAGGGGTCGTGGACCATGACGGGGCCCTTCTCGACGTGCTCCATGAACATGTAGAGCGCGTCGCACTCGTCGTCGTCGACGACCTCGTAGAGCCGCACGAGACGGTTGTGCTCGAGCTTCTTCATGATCGCGATCTCCGTCTGCACCTTGTCCAGCTCCGTCGTGACCTTGACGCCGTCGGCCGTCCTCGCCATGGTGCGCTTGCGCCGCAGGAGGGACTTGTTGAAGACCTTGCAGGCCACGGGCGCGGCGAGGTCCGCCGACTTGGCGAGGTAGACCTCGGCGAAGGAGCCCCGCCCCAGCTTCTTCTCGAGCGTGTACTGGTTGATCTGGCGCACGCTGCCGTCGTCGTCCTCCCGCCGGGCCGTCAGGGGCGTCGACGCCATGGTCCGCCCCGGTGATCTCGAATCGAGCCCGGCTAAAACGTCGATGGGCTGCTCATGCCCGGCACACCGCGGCAACTCGAGCGTACACCACCCTCAACGTCGGCCTCGACGACGTGGAAGTTCGGATCGGCGGCTACTTAAACATGTGCTGGGAGTCGCGCCGCTGGAGCCAGCGCGCGGCGAGGTGCTGGTCCAGCTCCGCGACGCCGCGGTACGACAGCAGGAGCGGGCGGTAGCGCAGGCGGAACTCGCGCACGGTGACCCCCAGATTCACGGCGCCCGCGATTAACATATCCCGCCGGCGGTAGAGAGATAGAGAGATTTCTATCTTCATCTTCAGTGAACAGTGAACTGCATCTTGATGTTGCAGTGCACCTTACCCCACTGCGCTCCTACTGCGTATCCTGCTAGTTTTCCCTTCCCTTCCTTAATTCATTCTAATCCAGTTTCAAGTCTTATAGACAGCGAACTGAAGGAGTGACTGCCAAGCAGGCACAGAGTGCATAGCGCTCTTCTGTGTCTGTGGTGTCTGTCTGGTT